CCTGCGCCCTCCCCACCTACACCCTCCCCACCTACACCCTCCCCACCTGCACCCATCCTATCCTGCAGCCTCAGGTCCTCACCTGCCTCCGTCCTCACCTGCACCCTCACTTCCACATCTATGTGCTCACATTCTTACCTGCATCCATTCATGATCCTCACTGGCATCTGATGTCGGTGATTTCCGACGGTGGCTTTGCATCCTGTAGTTAATTCCATGTTTACTAGTTTGCTGTCTGTCTTTTCTACTATGTAGGAGTATGTAAATATGTATGTTAGGTGTACATGTAGGCAGGCATGTTTATTGGTATGTATGGAGGCATGTATGTGTAATGTAAGTGTGGGCACATGGCTCCTTACTCTCCTCAGTGGCTTACAGCCATTTGCTGCCCCTGTTCTGTTCAGAGCATCCCTGGGGGGTCCTTGGAACTGGTCCTTTGCTCTCTGGCATCATTCTGTGAGCCCTTTTTTGCTTTTTGGTGTAGTAAATTCCTGGAGTCAGCCCTTTCTCCAGGGAGTCCTGGCTCCTGTTAGGAAAAAACACGTGGAAACCAAGATCCGGGCAGTGAGAAGTGCTCGCTGTGCAGGACACACCGACCGCAGGCCACGCGGCTCAGGCCCCTGAGTGCCCTGAGCCTCGCGTGATGCTGTCTGTGCCTCTGCCTTGTTTATGGACTGACTTAGTATATAGAGTACAAGCTTCTCTTTAAAGCTAAATGTTGGTCTTTTACTAAACCAGCTACGTTTTATTTTATGGAAATTTCAACCCAAGGGGATGTATCACTATATTATTGGTGCAAATGTATGTATATCTTTTTAAAGATGCCTTATTGATTTTCATGGAGCCAATCTTAATGCCCTGTGTTTGAATCACTGAGATCCAGCTTTGCTAAAAATAAACACCTACTTGTACATTCACGGAATTCATTGCCTATTGGCCACTTTGGGAAGGGGAAGGAGTACAAAATGTCCCAGAACCTCCCAGGTGAATTCTTATCTTTGTCGTTGGTTAGGACAGATTTAATGTTAGAATTCTGTTTCAAAAACAAAAAGATATTTTTGCTGCACGAACTGAAAAATGTTGATGCTCTGAAAGTGTTTCCCGCTGTGAGATTGGCTGAAAGGGAAGCAGAGCCGTGATCTGGTTTCCTGCCCGCAGGCCGGCTGCTGCGACGGGAGCATCAGGCTCCACCAGCTGGCGTCTGAGCGGCCGGTGCTGCAGTGGGGCCTCGGCACCGCGGGCCGCGCCGTCACCGGCCTGCAGTGGTCCCCGACCCGGCCAGCGGTGTTTTTCGTCCAGGACGACACTTCCTGCATCTACATCTGGGACCTCCTGAAGAGCGACCTGGGTCCCGTAGCCAAGCAGCCCGTCTCTCCAGACAGGTAGGTCTGAGGGACCGCTGGCCGCCAGTCCTCCCTGCAGAGCTTCCCGGTAGTGACGTTAGAATGTGTTCTGTTGTTTAAGGAATGCTTCTGTAGTATCAATTTAAGTAATAATTTACAAACCACTGTAAGGTATGTTGATTTCAATTTAGTCCAGAGTAGTCTATGGATTAAAGAATTCACACGGCACCATTTCCCCATCATTGTTCTTCAGTAAAGGAAAGAAGAAACGTGTGAGCCCCTTAGTCATGCTCTCAGGGTTCCGTCTGTACCATCTGCAGCCCTCCATCTAGTGTCTCGCAGTCCATGGCTGGGAGTCAGTCACTGACACCCTGTCACGTGGACGCATTCCTCCGCCCCAGAGTGGGGCGCAGTCGCACCAGCGTGTGGCCTCTGCGTGGACCCGGTGACATGGAGGTGATCATGGTCGGCCTCCAGCAATCCCTGTCTTGTTTTATTCATGGAAATAGAACTATTTCTACAGCCTTCTCTGTGAAGGCTTCTTTCCTGACCCGCTTGTCTGCTCACTGTCCATTTCCCTGAGATTTGTATTTCTGACGGCGATGGCTCTAGGAGCCTGGGGAGGGTGGGGACCACCCAGTTGGAGAGCGATTGAGACAGAATCGCTTGCTGGGTGTTAGGGACACACTGATAAGATCTGAAAAGTACTAGGTATAGACATTATTCTAATTATTTAAAAAAAATACATCATCAAAATCCAGACTGCGATTCACTTCTAAACACATAATATGCATGTCATTTATTTCAAAAGGCTTGTCAGTTACTTAATAAAACAAATATTTATTGAGCACCTGCTGCTCGCCTGGCACCAGGGTATGTAGAGGACCAGTCAGTGGGCTCACATCCTTGTGGGGCCAGATGGGTGAGAAACACAATAAAATAAATGAGGTTCCACAGTGGGGTGGGAGAAACGAGGAGGCACGGGCCCAGGTGTGCGCCAGAGGGAGTCAGGACTTTGAATGGGCAGGAAAGAAGGTCTGGCAGAGACTCGGGACATGGGGTCTTGGGGCCGACTGTGCCTGACCCGAACCCTAACCCTAACCCCACCTCCTGCATGGCTGGTGGTCAGTCAGCCAGCTGGGCTGAGGCTGCCAGCAGGGAGCAGCTCAGACCGAGGGAGTGGAGAAAAGGCAGACGTGATCTAGAACATTCTTCCAGACACCGCCCGCCTCAGAGGTTAGCAGCAAGCAGTGTTTAAGTTAAAGAAGTGATAATATTCAAAGAAAGTGCCCAATTATTTTTCTCTAGAGCAGTGGTTCTCAACCTTCTGGTCCTTTAAGTACAGTTCCTCATGTTGTGACCCAACCATAAAATTATTTTCGTTGCTACTTCATAACTGTCATGTTGCTACTGTAATGAATCGTCATGTAAATATCTGATATGCAGGATGGTCTTAGGCGACCCCTGTGAAAGGGTCGTTCGACCGCCAAAGGGGTCGCGACCCACAGGTTGAGAACCGCTGCTCTAGAGTTTCTCCCCACCCCACTGTGGAACCTCATTTATTTTATTGTGTTTCTCACCCATCTGGCCCCACAAGGATGTGAGCCCACTGACTGGTCCACTACATACCCTGGTGCCAGGCGAGCAGCAGGAGTTTAGAAAGAAGGAAGCATTTGCCCCTTTTAGACTTAAGTTCAAGTTATTATACACGCTGCGCACTGGGCCTGGGCGGCCAGGATCAGACCCGACGCTGCTTTGTTTTCTCCCTCTTTGCCTGGATTCTGTTCGGCTCACAGATCTGAAGCACATTTTATTTTAATGTTTTTTCAAAGCACATTAAATTGGCTCTGACAACCCTGGCCAGTGTTTTTAGTGGTTGGAGCGGTGGCCTGAGCACCAGAGGGTCTTGGGTTCGATTCCTGGTTAAGAGCAGGTACTTGGGTTTCAGGCTCACTCCCAGGGCACATGTGGGAGGCACCCAGTTGATGTCTTTCTCACATCGATGTTTCTCTCTTTCCCTTTCACTCTTTTCCCCTTCCTCCCACTCTCCCTGGAGAAAAATCAATGGAAAAGTAACTTTGGGTGAGGATTAAGAACAAATAGTAGTGAGCAGGCCTGGTAGTGCTGAGTGGCGTTTCCGCACCAGGTCTCACCGTGTCTGCAGAGTTCAGCGGGAGCTGCTGTGCTGCCCTCGAGCTCTCCCGGCTCCCTGGCCTCCCCCTGCTGCATCGTTCCTGGAGTTCCCAGCTTGTGGCAATAACCAAGCAGCAGTCTTAACATACTCAGTGGGTGGAAATTCTCAAGATTTGTTCCTTTGTGGGCTCAGGAGGGCTTAATTCTCCCTGCCCCGCCCCTCAGTGATGCGGTGGCTCTCGACCTGGGGCCCAGCAGTACGACCAGACTGTCTCTGAGGCCTGGACAGATGGGGTTGGGAAGGATGCGGGCGCATGGGGCTGCTGGGGTGGCTGCAGGCTTCTCGCCGCAGGTCTGGTCTCAGGGCAGGGCTGCCTGCAGCCCAGGGTGTGGGTTTGCCTGTCCGGGGAGCAAGTCCTTCATGCTTAACAGGGATGGTGACCAGCGGTCGTGCAGCAGGCCTCTCGCTCAGGAGTGAGTTTTCAAAATGGGTTTTAGAGGCTTCCCTGTGTTGGCTTCTGTTCTGACGTTCGTTCTGACTCATGGCGGTGGTTAGACTCTCGTTCACGCCCCAGGAGCCTCGCAGTCATGCAGCCTCTCTTCCAGGCTGGTGGCCATGGCGGTCGTGGGCGAGCCAGAGAGGACCAGCGGCGGCTTCCTGGCCCTGGTGCTGGCCAGAGCCTCTGGCCACATGGACGTCCAGTTCTTGAAGCAGAAGTGGGCGACCCCCGTGGCGGACGAGCAGAGGAGACTGCGGCTGCTTCTGCAGAAAGCGCTTTAGGGGGTGAGCAGCTGGCGTTGTGGGGGGACAGCACATGGGGACCCGGACGTGAAGGGCCAGTCCAAGAGGGGCCTGTCACCCATGTGCGGGTGTAGTGTGCATTAGAACACATGTATTCTGTACATAATTAATTCATTTTACAGGATGTCACGGTTATATTTCCAGTAAATAAATTACTATTTTTGAATGGAAACATTTGTAGTGTGTCCTGAACTTCAAAGGAAATACAGTCATGCCCAGTACACTCTTTCCTGAGAATATTTCTGCTTATTTTTAGACCAGCCTTAAACTATTACCCATTCGCTACCATAGGTTGTTTATTTATTTATTTTTATTGATTTCAGAGAGGAAGGGAGAGGGAGGGAGAGATAGAAACATCAAGATGAGAGAGCATCATTGATCGGCTGCCTCCTGCACAGCCCACACTGGGGATCGAGCCTGCAACCCAGGCCTGTGCCCTGACTGGGAATTGAATCATGACCTCCTGGCTCATAGGTCCATGCTCAGCCACTTGGCCACACCGGCCGGGCTACTACCAGATTGTAAACAGTCCACCATGAACATGTGTTTCCATGAGCTGCTCTCTTAGTCATGCACGAGACGGGACTTCATCAGGGCGCAGGCCTTTCCCTGCCTGGGGGTCCTCGAGCCCGAGCACCTGCTGCAGAGCCTGGCCCGCAGGGGACGCTCAGTCGGTCTCTGTTAAGCAGCGCTGGACTCGGCTCCCACCCCGCATCTCCGTAACGCTCGCGGACAGTCGCTTCCAGACAGGAGAGGTGCGTGCAGGTGCCTGGAGCCCGCAGGTCACCCCTGCTCTTTTCTCCCTGTAACCTGCGCAGAGACTGGTCTGGGCTATTTAAAGGTGGACATGAGTTGTAGGTGTTTCACTTTCAGATTCTGCTTTAAATTAGAATTACATTCGTCCCTCTCCCTTTGCACCTCCTGTGTTTGTGCCCACGAAGTCTCAGGTATTGTCCACTGTGGCTCCACACCCTGTTCTTTTGTTTGATTCATTTTTCCTGGGAGGTAAATGCTTGGGCTCTGGGCCTTGACATTGCTCAGAGGCGCTAGCTGCAGCATGCCACCAAGCCCTGCCCCGCCCACAGCGACAGCATCAGGGCTTGCTGTGAGTGGCACCTCTGACGGCTCCAGTGTGTGCTCGGTTCTGAGGGAAGGTCGGAGCCCTTGGGGGTGCAGGTGGTTGCAGTCATCCTTCTGGGAGGTGCCAGGTAGGGGTGCAGCCAGAGATGTGCCCAGGGAGGGAGCTATGTGGGGCCCAGGGGCCTGCAAGGCTCCCAAATCCTGCCGAGGAGGTGACTTTTTGCTAAAATTTCAAGTGCATTTTGTGTCACACGGCCGTGTGCTGGGATGTAGACTTGAAGGCATGAATGAGGTTTCTGTATTTAGCCCATTATCCCTGCCCTGCCTCACCCTCAGGCCCTTCAGCGTGAGTCCTGGTCACCTCGCACCAGTGGGTCTGCTCTCCTCCAGGGGGTTGGTGACAGGCCGTCTTCCCTCAGAAAGCAGAGGACACAGGAAACAGTGCCACCCGCCACCCAGAGGACACCAGCCGAGGGCGCGGCCCAGCGCGGAGGCACATCTCTGTCTGCTTGGTGGCTGTGAGTTCCCTTCGAGTCACCAGGCAGTTTGGTCTGCGATTCTGCGAGCGTCCCTCTCAGGAGTCCCTGAAAACACGGAGCTGAGAGAGTCCATTCTGAACTGCGTGGCTTCCCTACACAGTTCCGAGCTTCTTTGTGTGCCCTAGTTCTTTAGCGCGCCGGGCACTAAGCCAGCCCGTCACGGGTCAGGGCGACTCCCCACTGCATGGCTTGCCCATGTTGCTAGGCTCATCAACTTGGATTCATCTTCTAAAATGACAGAACATTTATTTGCCTTTTATCACAGAAGGTAACAAAACTTCAGTGAAGTCTCTGGCTGTGTTTCTAGGCCAGGCATTGTTCGGGCGTAAACATGGGAGCTCAGAGGGGGCCTGGGTGGACGAGGTCAGCCTGCAGGGTGGGCCCGTGTGGCAGGACGACAGCGTGAACGGCAGCAGGTGGCCCCTGGATGGCAGTCCTGGCAGCCAGGGACCCCAGCAAGGGACAGAGGCAATTCATCAACATGGCAGCTGGTACGCAGGACAGTGGCTGGCAAGGAAAGCTGGAGACCCTGCCGGCACGCTGCCCCCAATTCGCCGGGGCCGGCCGCCTCCGAGCGGCCCGCACCCTGAGGGCTTTTCCTCCTGCTGTCAGTCCGCAGGGACCGTTTCCCATGGGTTCCGAGGGGCCAGGGGCACCGGGGAGCCTGCTCTCCCTCTGCAGCCGAGGCTCCAGCAGCCCCGCTCCTTCCTGTGCTGCATGCGTCCTGCTCAGCTCACCGCCTCCAGGGCCACCATCGAGACTCATGGAAGTTCATGTACAGATGGGGATCGATGGTAGGTTCCCTGCTGCCCCCTCGGCGATCCAGCCTCACACCCGCCTCTGCCGCCCGCCTTCCTCCACAGCTCGGTTCTGTGCCGCGCCAGCACGGCCACGGTGAACCCGAGTAGGGGCGGCGAAGGATTAGAAAAGGCAGATGAGAACAGCGCTGAGGCTGGGTGGGACGCTGCCCCCTCTGATGGAGAGAGCGCCACGGACCACAAGCCGTGTCTTTATTTTATAGCAGATTCCACAGGGCAAAGTCAGGGCGCAGTCAAGAAGTTTACAACATTCCCGTGGGTTTCGATCCTACTCAGTTACATGCACCTGAACTCTATCAAGCCCACATCACTCAGGCACGTGGGGCCACATGTTCGGACCATAGGTTCAAGCTCACAACTACAGCTGTTGGCTATCACTGTGCTGGGAGGGCTCTGCCCTCCAAGCTGGGACTTGCACGTGGCCACGAGAGGACTGTGCCCTCGTATTAGTCCGAGGCCTGAACCTGTCCAAACACTGTAGCCGCTCTCCACAGGTTCCCCTGAGGACATGGGCCCCGGTGTCCCCACGTGGGCACCTCCTCATGGGGGGCCTGCCCCGGGGGGGCCTCCTCCTTGGGGGCCTCCTCTGTGGGCGCCTCAGCCCCCGGGCCAGCCCTGTGGCTCTCCGACCAAACAACAGAACATTGACAATTGGTCTAAGTATCTGACCTTCTCACTGAGTTTCCCAGGAGTCACTACAGAGGCTGACGCAGATTCACATGGAAACCATGGTGAGTGTCTTGCCAAGAGCTTCCTTCCGGAGCCGTCATCCCAGCTGTAAGAGAAAGCAGGAGCCCGGGGAAGGGCGACGCAGGGAACTCCATGAGCCCTGAGGGGAAGCACTTGCGAATGGCACCCCTGAGCTTGCAGCCAGGTTTGGCCTGACAAAGGGGTCAGGCCTGGCCCCATCGGTGCTGAGCAGTGGGCCTGGGGTGCAGAGCAGGAGTGGGGGGTGTTTCGGGCCTTGAGGGAAGGAGTGGCTCAGTGTTTGCACAACCCAGTGCCTTCCTGGTGTGCCTAAGCACCTCTGGCTCCCCCAGCCAGCCCAGACCTGAAGGGAAAGCCATCTGTCCAGGTGAGCTACACTAGGTGCTCCGGGTGACCCTCACTAGGTGCTGTGGGTGACCCTCACTAGGTGCTGTGGGTGACGCACACTAGGTGCTGTGGTGACGCACAACTAGGTGCTGTGGGTGACCCTCACTAGGTGCTGTGGGTGACCCTCACTAGGTGCTGTGGGTGACCCTCACTAGGTGCTGTGGGTGACGCACACTAGGTGCTGTGGGTGACCCTCACTAGGTGCTGTGGGTGACGCACACTAGGTGCTGTGGGTGACCCTCACTAGGTGCTGTGGGTGACGCACACTAGGTGCTGTGGGTGACCCTCACTAGGTGCTGTGGGTGACGCACACTAGGTGCTGTGGGTGACCCTCACTAGGTGCTGTGGGTGACGCACACTAGGTGCTGTGGGTGACCCTCACTAGGTGCTGTGGGTGACGCACACTAGGTGCTGTGGGTGACCCTCACTAGGTGCTGTGGGTGACGCACACTAGGTGCTGTGGGTGACCCTCACTAGGTGCTGTGGGTGACCCTCACTAGGTGCTGTGGGTGACCCTCACTAGGTGCTGTGGGTGACCCTCACTAGGTGCTGTGGGTGACCCTCACTAGGTGCTGTGGGTGACCCTCACTAGGTGCTGTGGGTGACCCTCACTAGGTGCTGTGGGTGACCCTCACTAGGTGCTGTGGGTGACCCTCACTAGGTGCTGTGGGTGACCCTCACTAGGTGCTGTGGGTGACCCTCACTAGGTGCTGTGGGTGACCCTCACTAGGTGCTGTGGGTGACCCTCACTAGGTGCTGTGGGTGACCCTCACTAGGTGCTGTGGGTGACCCTCACTAGGTGCTGTGGGTGACCCTCACTAGGTGCTGTGGGTGACCCTCACTAGGTGCTGTGGGTGACCCTCACTAGGTGCTGTGGGTGACCCTCACTAGGTGCTGTGGGTGACCCTCACTAGGTGCTGTGGGTGACCCTCACTAGGTGCTGTGGGTGACCCTCACTAGGTGCTGTGGGTGACCCTCACTAGGTGCTGTGGGTGACCCTCACTAGGTGCTGTGGGTGACGCACACTAGGTGCTGTGGGTGACCCTCACTAGGTGCTGTGGGTGACCCTCACTAGGTGCTGTGGGTGACCCTCACTAGGTGCTGTGGGTGACCCTCACTAGGTGCTGTGGGTGACCCTCACTAGGTGCTGTGGGTGACCCTCACTAGGTGCTGTGGGTGACCCTCACTAGGTGCTGTGGGTGACCCTCACTAGGTGCTGTGGGTGACCCTCACTAGGTGCTGTGGGTGACCCTCACTAGGTGCTGTGGGTGACCCTCACTAGGTGCTCCGGGTGACCCTCACTAGGTGCTGTGGGTGACGCACACTAGGTGCTGTGGGTGACCCTCACTAGGTGCTGTGGGTGACCCTCACTAGGTGCTGTGGGTGACCCTCACTAGGTGCTGTGGGTGACCCTCACTAGGTGCTGTGGGTGACCCTCACTAGGTGCTGTGGGTGACCCTCACTAGGTGCTGTGGGTGACCCTCACTAGGTGCTGTGGGTGACCCTCACTAGGTGCTGTGGGTGACCCTCACTAGGTGCTGTGGGTGACCCTCACTAGGTGCTGTGGGTGACCCTCACTAGGTGCTGTGGGTGACGCACACTAGGTGCTGTGGGTGACCCTCACTAGGTGCTGTGGGTGA